CATTCAACTATGTTATTTCCCCTCTTGGTGCTACATTAGCTCCACAAGTTTTGAGATTTAATTTTTGCACTTCAACATACTTTAACATTTTCCTTGAGGCCCCTCCTGAGGCTCAGTGACTTTGAGAAGTATGTTCTTTAGTTTACAAGTGTTTACTGGTTTTCTTCCATCTTTGTTTGATTTCATTATGGCCAGAAAACACATTTTATTTTATGGTTTCTCTTCTTTCTATTTTTTTTTAACACTTGGAGTTTGTTAATGGTCAGGTTGTAGTCTGTCCTGGCATGCTACTTTAACAGTACACATTCAGTCATCATTGGACAGGATGGTCTACAAACAACTTCTGGATGTTTGTCTGTCTGAGACAGCCTTAACCTGCAGCCCTAGCCAACCTGCACCTTACCATGTAGCTCAGGTTGACTTTCAACACACATTGATTCTTCTGCTTTAACCTCCCCAAATTCTGGGGTTGCAGGGGTAAGCTGTCATGTCTGGTTCATTTGGGGCATTTCTGCTGAGATTCTGGGTCTTGTGTAATCCTTCTACTTCAACTGGCTTCAGTCCTCTGATCACATCTGGCAAGGAAAACAAGAGCCCTACCTGGTAACTAGCAAGTAAGTATAAAAATAGACATTTCCCTCTAAGCCACCACTGCTGGGCAGGAGCTGGCCTTGCTGCTTCCCACCACACCTCTACTGACACATCCTGGCAGAGATGAGGAGCAGGAGTATGTCATACTGCTCCACATTGTCCTCTATGACTCCATGGGGAAGGGGGTTTCACCACCACTGTGTAAGCTGACAAAATCCTTGGCTCCCCACTGATGTCTGCAAGAGGGATGCAAGGGTGTTTCTTACATCTGGAAGAGTCCTAGGTCCATGCATCCTACATGATCCTCACTGCACTGAGTGGGAGGGCTTGCCGCTAACCTGTGAGTGGGGCTCCCTATTCTGCTACCACTCAGCAAGTGGGGAAGCCTGGAGGCCTCAGTTAGGACTGCTAAGGCAACACCTGGCTCCATCTCTGATGCCCTAGGTGGGAAACCACAGGGATCCCCTGGGTAGGGGCAGGGGTGTGGCTGCAGCAGGGAAATTTCTCCTTAAAGTTTTCATCTCCATTTGCAGCTGGTGAGAGTTAATGTTAATTGTCAACCTGAAAAAACCTGAAGTCACCTTGGAGACAGTCTCTAGGCAAAGAGTTACTCAGTTTCCGGACATGCCTGTGAGGAACTATGTTGATTAAGTCACTTGAGGTGAGAAGACCCACCACTGGTGGTAGCATTCCCTGGGCTTAAGTCCTGGACAGCATGGAAAGGAGAGTGAGCTGAGTGAGCATTCATCGCTCTCATCTTCCTGATTGTAGATGTGTTGTGGCCAGATGCTTCCAGCTCCTGCTGCCTTAACCTCCCAGGATGGACTGTGCCTCGAGGTGTGAGATGAAATAAACCCTTCCTCCCTTGAGCTCTTTTTGCCTGTTTAATCACAGTTAACAGAAGTGACCAGGACTGTGACCCTTCCTGATCCTTGGCTGTCATTCCGTCTGTGCTTTCTGACATATCTGTGTTGTCCACTCCATCAGCTTCAACTGTGGGATCTGCCTCATGAGGAAGACACATCTGAGTGCTACTCCTTCATCCAGTCTCCTGGCTTCTTTCTACTTTACGGACTCTTCCAAGTCTGTTTACTGTGGTCCATCTGAAGACTTAGCCATGTAGAGCAGGAGCAGTGGGAGACATGCCCACCCTAACTTCCTAGAAGTGGAAGTCTTGCCTTGTGGTTACCCCTCCCCTCACACACCCAAAGGTTCCATGTGCTTCCCTGCTATGCCATGTCACCTAGAACGGTGCTTGACACACAGCAGGTACTCAGTAAATAATTGTGGAATGAAGAAGCAAACCAGTTAACACAGAGGAAATAAAAACTGGTTAAAAGCAGGCAAGAACACACTGTCTCTTGGTGTGCTGGGGTGGGGTTCAGAATATACCCCACCAACTCTTATCTTCCAGTCTCTACCCCAGACCCCCAGATACCTGCACATGGCACAGCTCAAAGTCTCTGGGCTTGGAAACTTCTGGCACCTGTAGTTAACACTGCTGAGCTGCTGCAGGGAAGTATGGGGGTGGCTGGCCTGGTTTCACAGCTAAGAGCACAATGGACACTTGGGGACAAGAGAGAAGGTGGTGTGACAAGCCAGTGTGGCTATCTACCTCCCCTATCCCCTGGGAGCCATAGAGGCATGGTGGGGAGTAGATCTGAAGGTAGCATCTGCCACTTGGCAATGGACCCCAGGCCCTGCACAGAGATAAGAACTGAGAACCAAGGAAGGCCTTCTGCAGACAGCTGCAGATTAGGGGCACAGGTTCGGTATTAAGGACAGGGCACAAATGCCTACCCCAGGCCACCTCTGAGCCCAAGAGAATTAGGAGTAGGCAGCTGCAGCCCTTTCGCTTTCCTGATCTTAGAGAAAAGGAGGCCAGCATTTCTGCTGACCACAGCCTCTGGAAAGAACACCAACCAGCCCTTCAAAGCCTCCACAGTGGCCTTGGGGCCTCAGGCAATCCTAGAGTACTGCAGCAAAGGTACCTGCTGGGACCAGCCTGCAGCATGGGGGTCCAGAAATCCTCAGCAAAGAAACAGCCCAGAGGGCCCAGATCCCATGGGGCCAGGGAGATGGAAAAGGAAAGACAGCAATGAAGCTCCCTTATCCCAGGAGAGGCTCGGTGTAAAGGGTCACCTCCAGGCCAGGAGACAAACTTTTCAGGAACTCAACTCACTCTTCTCCTGTGTGGCCTGGGCTGAACTATTTAGCCTCTCTGGGCCTTTTAGAAGTAGGTGTGTGTGTGTGTGTGTGTGTGTGTGTGTGTGTGTGTGTGTGTGTGTGTTTGAGATAGGATTTCCTATGTAGCCCAGGCTGGCCTCAAATTCATAATTCTCCTGGTACCAACTCCCAGGATTACAAATTTGCCACTAGGGCTGGCTGTTCTAGTCTATACCAGGGATGGCTGTTCTAGTCTATACTGAGGCTAGCTGTTCTAGTCTACACTAGGGCTAGGGCTGGCTGTTCTAGTCTACACCAGGGCTGGCTGTTCTAGTTTACAGTCTGCAGAGAGACTGCCTGAGATTGGGTTTGCTATGCTTGCTAAGTCAGGTAGGCCCCTCTTCCCCCTGCATTTTAATCAAGAGCAAAGCAGAGGATATCTGCACTCTCTTGGCTCTCCCAGCAGAGTCAGGCAGGTGAGGAGGCAATAGGTTATGGTGGAGATTGGGGAGGGTTGGAGGGCAGAGGTCAGTCACTGTTTGTCCTACCTAAGCTGCAGTGTCACCCGACATGGCTGGTTAGGCACAGGCCAGGCAGATCTTCCAACAAGACACAAGCCAGAAACCTACACTGCCATATAACAATCTAAACTCTTCCCAGCAAACCCTCCACAGGCCTACTAGTGTTTCAGACAGCAGGCAGCCTCAAGCTAACTGTGGGACTGACTCCTTGGGGACACACACTCCACACTACTGCTAACTTTCTGATCCCAGAAGTGACTCCTTGGGAGGCAAAGGCAGGTTGAGGGTGCCACTCACTAAGTCTGGTCTGGAGCTGTTGGCCCACTCAACTCTTACTCTACCCAGCCACCATTGTCTTGCCTGGTATGTTCTGGATGGGCTAAAGAGAGCCGAGACACCTGAAGAGAAGAGCATCTTGGAGTACTTCCCCAAATGTGGGCTGTTGCCCACGTAACATCTGGGTTATGTAAATGGCACTGAATGTTGGCAGCTGGGGTCTTCATGACCACTGCTACTCACAGAGCACATGGCTTGTACAGATACTAGAAGCTAGTCTCATGTACAACAGCAAGCCTGTCAAGCCTGAGTGACTGTCTCAGCCTGGGTGACCCCAAAGCATGGCCTCCCTTCACTTCTTTGCTTCTGTCTATCAGCTGCTGTCAAAGGCCATGGCTCCTACACCTGGCCCTGACCCACTGAGTGCAGCTTGGTGACACAGGACCTCACACACCAGGCCTGCAGTTTCCATCTGGGTCTCTTGAAATGCTTGATCATGGGACATTGTCCCTAGGGACCGGCCACCATATATAAAAAGTCACGCCAGCCACTAACCACTGTTAGCCAACATTGTACTGAGCTATCTCCCAGTGATGCGAATCAGATTTTTAAATCTATTTTTAAAATAATTTATTTAACTTTTATTTTATGTGATTTGTTGTAAGGGTGTCAGAAGCCCTGGAACTGGAGTTACAGACAGTTGTGAGCTGCCATGTGGGTGCTGGGAATTGAATTCGGGTCCTCTGGAAGAGCAACCAGTGCTCTTAACCACTGAGCCATCTCTCCACCCCGTGCATCAGATTTTTATGGAAATCTCCAAGCTAGGAACAACCTGCAAGGCTATATGAGGTAATGCAGTTTTCACTGAACCCAGTAGCTGTTGGGTAATGTACTCTACCTACCAACAGAGAGCAAATGGCCAGCACCTGTGAGGTAGAAGCGGCAGTCTCTATTCTACACCAGACAATGTTGAGACACACGTGGTAAGGGACTGGGCCGTCATGTATAGCTGGCAGGGGTCAGGGTCAGCTTTGAACCTGATCTCATCCTAAGACCTGTCTACCACCCTCAGCATTGCCACAGGCTCTTACTGGGTTGCTCAAGATGCAATCTGAGCCCATGAAGGAGAAAGAGAGGCCTCATCTCTGCATGTGAAAGGTCACACTGGCCTTGGGGGAAGTTGCTTACCACTGCTGAGCCCTGGGGTCTCTTAGACTGATGGGGCAAGAGTTTGTCACAACCCGGAGTCCCAGATGGTTGTGTGTGCTCACCCCAGCACTGTCCCACACCACCCACGTCCTGGCCTCTGAGTTAAGTCAATGGGTAAGCACCCTTGCTCTCGTCACCATGGGTTCCCATCATTCACAAGCCAAAGGATGCTGACATGCTCCTTTGTGAACCCATCATGATTCAGACTCTGGTACCTGAAGGTCAAAGGTCACTTACCAGAAGGACCACCCATAGTCCCAGGAATGAGGTCTCCAGTCTTCAGGGCCGAGGCTCACGGTGACCTGGAACACCTGTGTGTACATCATGTGTGCGACCATTCCCAGGAGGCCTGTGGAGCAGAGCAGCTGTCAGGATCCAGAGAAGGACCTTGTCCCCATCTCAGGGAACACCCCCAGCCACTTGCCAGCTAGCCTGTTAGAGTTGGGAGAGTGCATGGACCTCATGGAAGGGATGTTATTGGGAGCAGAGGCTGGGAGGCAATGGGGTGGTCCAGGGGATGGAGGGCAGCACCGGGGAAATGTAAGCAAAGCCAACAGGTGTAGTTTAGAAACTGGTCCTGAAAGGGGCCACAGAGATAAACATTTGAGGCTGGGGGCCATGTGGTCATCCAATTGGCTGTGGCTGACATATTAACTAATGAGTTTCCCCAATAAAACTTTTTATTTACAACGCAGATGATGGGCTGGCTTTAGCCTGAAGTCTTGTTTGCTGACACCTGTGTTAGAAAGGCCATGTGGCAAAAGCGGTCTCCAGAGTAACTTTCAAGGCTCACTGCACAGCAAACATTCTCAACCCGTGGGTCTCCGACCCCTTTCACAGGGTTCTCCTGAGACCATCAGAAAACACAGATATTTACATTAGGATCCATAGCAATAACAAAATAACAATGGTGATGTAGCAATGAAAATACTTTTACTGCTGGGCGTCACCACAACATGGAAGGGTGGCAGTGTTAGGACGGTTGAGAACCACTGCTGTAGAGGGTCATAAAACCAAGTCACAGATTTCTTTTTAACACAGCCAGTATTTTGAAAAGAATGGTGTATAGTTTGACTCTTTAATGTCCCCCATGGAATGTCCCCTCAGGTTCATCTCTGGACACTTGTTGCTGCTGCAGCTGGTGTGCTCTTATGGAAACTGTGGATTCTGTAGGAAGTAGGGCCCAACTGAAGGTGGTAGGTCACAGGGTGGCCCCATTAATTATCCCCGCCCCTTGGCCTGTCTTGCTCTCTGCCTCTCCATCCGTCCTCCATGATGTGAGCAGCTGCTGCCAAACACTGCTGTGGAGAATGAGCTGACAGCTGCCCCCCCCTCAATGTGGGCTTAAACCACAAAATAAATCCTTTTCCCTTAGGTTGTTTCCACCTAAGGCATTGAGGTTACAGTGACACAAAAGTGACCCATGACACAGCCGAATGTGGCTGGAGAAACGTTTTGTGGACTGTTTAGCTCTGAGCATGTGCAGTGTTGTGACATGGGGATAACTCACCAGTTGGAGAGTTGGAGGAGTATCGGCATGGGCTCTTTGCTAACACACTTTTTTCTGTGTGGTTTTGGGCTAAGCATGTGACCTCTCTGAATCTCCAGTCTTCCATCGCCCTCAAGATGAGGAGTGCGGCAAGTGTGGGGGATCTCAAGGGACCCCAGATAGTGCACCCTTGTTATCTGATGCCCACCAGGTACAAATCATTACAGCGCCTGGGGTTATTGCAAAACAGAGCACATATCTTGGGGGGAGGGTTACAGACTGTCATCTAAGGCCTCCTATGTGACCAACCCAAAGATACAGACTCGGTCTTAAGGAGGGAGCGTCACAAGCAAGAAGGTAGCAAAAGTTATATTTTATTATGCCGAGGGTCATCTCACAAGGTTCACATTCTAAGTTCCTAACTACTGTCCTAAGCTTATCTTCCCAAGGCTGCTCACCTGGGCAATGTACCTTAGCTGAATGTCAGGTCCAGTCTCTTATCAGAAGTTTCTGATTTGAGGGTCAGGACCCTGGGGAAAACTCTCCAGTAGCAGGGCAGACCAAGGTGGGGTCTCTCCAGATGTGCAGAGCAGAGCCTTGTTCTTGGTCTCTTATATACTGTCCAGTGGGTGTCATGGGGTCTAGGACTAAGCGTGGTTATCTTGAATGAGTGATGTCACCGAGTTCTGGTTATCAGGTGCAGCCTTGGTATAGTGGGGATCCTGACTAAACTTTTTTTTTTTTTTTTTTTAGAAAAGTCTAAAAGGCAGTGTTTACTATGCTCATTACAGGGAGACAGTACTGATGAGAGGCAGAAAGGAGACCAACATGTTACAACTCTCAGGTAACACCCGTCATGTAGAGAAGTCAAGGCTGGAGTCAAGGACAGGAACCTGGAGGCAGGAGCTGATATAGAGCCCATGGGTGACTAGTTGCTTACTGGATTCTTCCCCATCTTCCCCATGGCTTGCTCAGCCTGCTTTCTTATAGCTCCCAGGACCACATGCCCAGGTGTGGTACCTCCAACAGTGGGCTGGGCCCACCCACATCAACCATCAATCAAGAAAATAACCTGCAGATTTGTTTATAGGCCCTTCAGATGGGGACACTTTCTCAGTTGCGGTTTCCACTTCCCAGATGACTCTAGCTTGTGTCCAGTTGATAAAAACAAAACTTAAAACACTAACCAGGACAAAACACCAACCAGATTCAGATTCACTCGAGTTATGTTGTTGTTGTATGGTTTGTTTTATTTTGTTCTGTTTTTCGTTGTTGTGGCTGGCCTAAACCTTACCATATAGATCAGAGTTGCCTTGAATTTAACACCCTTATCGTCCTGTGTTCTGAGGTCACCACCACACCTATAAGATACTCTTATAAAAACTTGTCTTGGTGTGTGTTGTATACATGAGTTCATGCTAAACTATATATGCACATATGTGTTTTGATATTTGAGTGTGGGGTCCAGAGAGCATCTTCTATTGTTCTCCACCTTACAGAGCATGGAGTTCACCAATTGCCAAGACTAGCCAGCCAGTGAACCCCACCTGCATCCTCCCTAGCAATGGGATGGCAGGGCCCACCACCACACCCAGCTTTTTATGTGATCTGCCCCCCCCCCCCGTGTTCACACTTGCCTGGCAGGCACTTTACTAACAACTATCCCCCAGGGCTCCAGACGTTCATAACCAGGCCTCTTCCCATGCTGCCTAGAGAGCTCCCACCTCTCACTGCCTCTGTCACGCTTTGCTGTGCCTCTAAAGAGAAGGCAAGAGAGAAGGTGTTGATAAGAGAAGAAATGGCGGTGATGGCGAATGAAGTAGAGGTGACAAGGGGATAGGAGGGGAGAGGATGCCTCATGCTTTACCTAGCAACTCTAAAAAGAAGGAAGGCAGAAAGGGAGGGAAAGTCCTATTTGTATCATTTACCAACTCCCACAGCCAACCTTGAGCTACCACAGCGAAGTCCCCAGAGTGGAGCAGAGGAGAGGAGTACACTGTGACCTTGTGAGCTGAGCCACGGCCCTCACCCCAACCTTCCACATGGAACCCCAGGGTTCTGAGACAGAGGATTCCAGGCTGTTGTCAGTCTTGGGCCAGTAACAGGTGCTGAGTCCCATTACAGGCTCCGTGATGCTCCTCCCCGGCCTTAGCAAGGGTTGATGCTGTAAAGTAATAAAGATCTAACCGTCCCATAGCCACACTGTGTGCTATTGTCCCTTAATGCTACTTAACTGGTGTTGTTATATTTATTAACTGTTCCTGCTTCTTCCCTTTTGAATATATGTGGCCATATCCTTCCTCAGTCTTGTGTATGTGATAGGTAGGGTGTAAAATGTGTAGTGTGTGAGTCTATTTGGTGTGTGTGTGTGTGTGTGTGTGGTGTCTGTGCACATGTGTATATAATATGTGTATGTATGTGTTGTGGGTATGCATATGTGGTATGTGTGGTGCATGTGTGTGTGTGTGTGTGGTGTGTACTATGTGTGTGTGGTGTAGTATGTGTGTCGTGTGTACCGTGTGTGTGTGTGTGTGGTGTGGTAGTGTATGTATATGTTGTGGGTATGTGCATGCAGTATGTGTGGTGTATATGTGATGTGTGTACTATATAGTGTGTATGTGTTTAGTCTGTGTAATGTGTGGTGTGTGGGCACACATGTGTGCAGGTTGTTCTGGAGATTGAGGAGGATGTTAGGTGTCCTGATTTACTGTTCTTTACCTTAGTCCTACCTTAGCCCTTTTGAGACCTAATCTGTTATTGAACTTGGAACTGAGCTGGTGGCTCCAAGTCCCAGCAATTCTTCTGTGTCTGCCTGCCCCACCCCAGAATTGGCTACAGGCATGCACAGCATCATGAGAAGCCTTACATATGGGTTCTTGTACTGGCTCAGCAAGTACTCTGCTTACTCTCACATTTCTCTAGCCTGGACATGTGTATTTCTAAATCTATGCCTGAGGGAGCTGGGAAATGCTCAGTGGATAAAATCCCTGCTATGCTAGTGCATTCAGGTCCCACATAAAGCTAGGTGTGGCATGGTTCTGCAAATTCAGCACTGGAGTATGAAAGGAGAGACCCTGCCTCAAAAAAGAAAGGTGGAGACAAATAGAGGAAGACACAGAAATCAACCTTGGATCTCCATGTGATATTTATGTATGTAAATATCCTACATGAACATGTACATCTGGCATACACACACTGTACACACCACATACACACTATACCCCCACACATACATCACACACTCTACACACATACAGGTACACAGACACAAACACTACACACAACACACGTGCCATACCACAACATGCACACGTCACACATTCCACACACACAAACTACACACACTCATACATAACACACACACACCCCTCCATACACATACCATGCATATTCACACACACACCATATACACACATACCCTCCCCCATACACCACACACACACGCACACACACACACACACACACACACACACACACACACACACACACACAAACACCATCTCTCTATGGCTTGCTAGAGGTTCTTTATGTACCCAGGCTACAAATCCTGGCTGCTGCATGGATGGCAAAGCTGCTTGCCTCCTCTGCACACATCTTTCTTTTTCAGTAATAGGTTTTGTTTTTCAGAGAAGTTTGATTGGCAGGCACAGAGTGCTCACACACACACACACACACACACACACACACACACACACACACACACACCACCCCCACCCCAGTTCAGTAGTCAGTTTCTGTCCTCCTGTGGAGGAGCCAAAGTCTGAGCATTGCTTTTCACTAAAACTCATGGTGAATACATATTATATTTATCTTTCTGGTTTCCACCCAGGAAGGTGAAAAAAAACAAGATCTCCTGAGTA